AAGGCTGTTACTACAACCAGGGAGAGAACTAAAACGTGCAGGATGCCGGGCCTCCAGGACCCACTTTGGACACCCTGACCTAGTCCATACAATAAGATTTAAGTCTTTGTATTATTGAATATTATATATTCTATTATGTCATATCCAGTTAAAATTTAAATATTTGATATACAGTCAATAAAAAATGTCAACATGTACCATAAAGTGAAAATTTAAGTGAATGTGTTTGGAATGAGGATGCATGGACTGTTTTTTTCCACAGATAAAAAAAAAAAGTTTACAACAATTTAAAATTTAGCCTGTTAAGCTTTTTTTGACAAAACTTCTCCTGCTGTAGAAAAAATGAAGTAAACTACATTTACAGCGAACCCTTGTTTTTCTTAGGGGTTGTGTTCTGAAAATAACCCATGATATGCGAAAACCTTTAGTTTTTACAGTTATTACACAGCATAAATAAATACTCTACATTGAAACCAAATAACAAAACCTGTTTTCAGATCAGCGGATGTGCGTGTGCATCAATCGGGCCTTAATGTGATCTGGAGTCATGTCATTAAATCGTCTCCTCCAAGCTGCCCTGTGAGACTCACAGCTGGATCTGCGGCAGAGCGACGAATCTGAGCCTCCGGTCCGGTTCTGCTGCCTCTGGCCACAGTTTTTTCCAGCTGGCATTCAAAGTTTCAGTTTCCAATCTGTATTAAATACCGTAATGTATTTAATACAGGCACTCAGGTAGAGAAGAAGCGCGGAGACTGTTTTTCCCAATCAAACGGTCAATCAGGACGCAGAACACTGAAAAAAAAAACTGCACAAAAAAATCTGCGAAGCAGCGAAACCGTGAAAGGTGAACCGCGTTATAGCAAGGGTTCACCATATATGAAATAATTTATAAAAAGCAACTGAGTAATTTGTAGAATGGCTGTATATCTGAGTTCATTCTAGGTGTATCTGGGACTTCATTCTCATGCCTGTCCTCATGATGCCTCAGCATTGAAAAGGTGGATTTATTTAAATAAGACAGTTTAGTCAAACATATGCAACATTTAACCTGCAGAACATAATATGAAAGTAAACTAAGAGTCAATGTCAGCTGAATTTGGATTCAGATAGATCAAGTAGAAACTGACAAGAACCGGATGAAACAACGAAATGAAAACAAATTTATTTTCCAATATAAGATCAAAATGTTCCCACACTGGGGAAACCTTTCCTTTGAAGCTGCTCCATAGTGACGCTGTAAAAGATCAAGAATTCGTTTGGCCAATGCCTTTGACAGATTCGTTTCCTTATAAACACAGTTTGGTG